GTTTCAATCGACTACTTATACCTTTAAATTACAAAAGAAAATGCTATTTCATGTTTTCAAAAATCAGCCACTCCATTTTATTTCTGTTTTTATTTGTTAAGAGTCGTACAGAATCACAGGTCAAAGGTCACGCTTACATTACATAAGAGCAATCTATTCTCAGTCAAACACTACAGTCGACGTCTTGTAAACGTTGTGTTTAACAAATGACGCAGCTGCATTCGATTACAGTCGACGTCTTGTAAACCTTGTATTTACAAATGACGCAGGTCGACGTCTTATGAACGTTGTGTTTAACTAATGATGCAGGTCGACGTCTTGTGAACGTTGTGTTTAACAAATGACGCAGCTGAATTCGATCACATCTTGTGAACCTTGTATTTACAAATGACGCAGGTCGACGTCTTGTGAACGTTGTGTTCAACAAATGACGAAGCTGAATTCGATTACAGTCGACGTCTTGTGAACGTTGTGTTTAACAAATGACGAAGGTCGACGTCTTGTGAACGTTGTGTTTAACAAATGACGCCGGTAGACGTCTTCTGAACCTTGTATTTAACCAATGACGCAGGTCGACGTCTTGTGAACGTTGTGTTTAACAAAAAGATGCAGGTCGACGTCTTGTGAACGCTGTGTTTATCAAATGACGCAGTTCGATGTCTTGTGAACGTTGTGTTTAACAAATGACGCAGGTCGACATCTTTTGAAAGTAGTGTTTAACAAATGACGCAGCTGCGTTCAATAACAGTTAACGTCTTGTGAACGTTGTGTTTAACAAATGACGCAGCTGCATTGGATTATCTAGGATATTCCGTCACAGGGCATTACATTTTCATGCTCAGCAGTGCAGTCGACAAATATGTGTAGCTAGCTAAGCAACGGTTCGTTAGCGGGTTTTGGCATAACCGTTTTTCTGTTTTTGCCCACTGGTCTTTTGCCTGAAGTAGTGATCACAAGTACCACTCAAATAATCGGACCCTGGATGCTAATCTAACATAACAAACCCCAAGTTCCTTGTTCAACCTCCAAAGAGGTTGTACTTGATTCATTCATGTTCGTTATGCCAAGTTTGAGTCCGGTTTACCCAGCTGTTCAAGCCGAAAAAGGATTGTCTCAATGGACTTTTGGTTCTGACTTTCTGCTTTGTCCAGAACGGCTTTGTCGAGATTCTGCTATGTCCATATTCTGCTTTGTTCATATTCTGCTTTGTCCATATTCTGCTTTGTCCATATTCTGCGTTGTCCATATTCTACCTTGTCCAGATCTGCTTTGTCCAGATCTGCTTTGCACCACTAGTCGTCGCAGATTAACAGTTAACAGCTAGTTATCAGAGCTAGGGCACGCTCGGTTTCCTGGTATGTTGTGATGTCTCCAGATATTAGTGACCCCTTTAATTCTCTTCTTCTTAGTCGCTCCCTACTTTTTGATGTTTCTAGCTACACGTTGAAGGCTCTCGTTGTTGCATCATTGGACTCATTCTCCTTAAATGGTCAAACCATTTCTACTCTAGTCCCAAACTTGTACAGACCTAGCGTTATCCAGTGGGTGAGGTGGCCACTGTATTCCCAGTAAAGTCTGGGTAGTAAGCAAAATAAGGTCCATTTTCTACGTCACCCTAGAGAGAACAAGTCAAGTTCCCAAATCTACCTCAATGGAAATTCACACTTATGAAAACCTTGTTTGAAGTCAAATATGCTAGTTACTGTACCACAAGATCTCCTACAGTATGTATAGTACTATTTGTATTTCTTCTGCAGTAGCTTGGCAATCTGCCAGCTGTGGGAATAAATTAAAGTTTATTTTATTTTATTTACATATTAAAATGCCACACTCACACACACACACATATTGCCCTTGTAAAGCAGTTGGAAAACAAACAACGATATGTCCCCCCCCCCTCTCTCTCTCTCTCTCTCTCTCTCTCTCTCTCTCTCTCTCTCTCTCTCTCTCTCAAATAACCTGAAAACCTATTGCGATGCAGTAAGACGAGAGAGTTCCCACGCACCTATAGTGCGTTTCAAAAGTCGTGACAAATATCTCGAAAACTCCATTACGAATTTGTTACGTGTAGTCTTAGATTTCTCATTTCCTTTTGATTTTTTTTTTATTTGCAAATACACAGGTGCTGCTTTTTCTTAAAAAGGCGAATTTCTTTGCTTTTCCTTTTAAACTAATAATATGTCAGCCTACCTCTAAAAATTTTTAATATTCAGTAACTGACACAAATCGGTTAATGAAACCGCAAAAAAAAAAAAAAAGAAGTTTAAAAAAAAAAAAAGTAATTTCACATGTACAGCGACGCATGGTGATTATTCTGATAGCCTATACCGCAAACAACAAAAAAAATGTGTTCGTCTAACTTACGGTGCTCGTTTTCGCAATGTTTACTTCTAGAACTCATGTGATTTTATGTTTTGGAAAATCGCGTTAATCAGTTAACGCTAACATGCTAAGTGTATGCTTTGAATCGGTATCTTTTTTTTCCCCTCCATTTTTTTCCATACCGCAAATAAGGCAAAATTAAAACTCGTTTTTGGTTTATATTAAAAGAATTTTCTAACAAGGACATACTTATTTACATGTTGCATGCCAAATATCAATAATTTACACCTAACGGTTGCTGATTTACAGATTTTTAAAGTTGAGCACGACTTTGGGAGCAGATTATGGCCTTCACTCCCAAGCAATACTGCTCTAAGGTTAACCCACACATTGAACAAGCCTATAATTTCTTAGTTAGTAAAAACTGCACATAATGTAAGGGATCACTTCACTTCATCATTCTAGTCAGTGTGTATGTTGAGTTGGGCTTTGTTACATATGTACATCTCTATTTCATCATCTGTCTCATGTTTCAGTAACTTTGAACCCGCTCCTCCCTTTTTTCCCTACGACCGCACACTGAGCGATTCACTCCTGTTGACGCAAAGTGTCAAGTGTCACTATTCGGATGAACATCCCCTCAGTACAAATCCCACAAACCGTGTTCAACCGTCAGGTTTTATTAGGGCCGTAACTTCTTCTTCTTTTTACTTCGCCTTCACCAGCTGTAAACTTCGGCGGAAAGTTCTGTTTGTTCATCCACTTCTGGACTGCAGTCCTGTTCCAGAACCTAAGTGTTGCGTGTGCATCCGTTTTACAGATCTGACCCATTGGCATGCAGACTGCTGGTTCCTTGCCTCTCAGGCAGATGCACTCCGACTTCGAAGGAAGCTCCTAATTAGTCGACTCTTACGACATGCTTTTGGGTAGGCAGTGGGTCTATTCTTGTTTTCCTTATAATAGGGCCCCGGAACCCACACGGGTAGGGCCGCAACTAAAGGTAAAGTCAGGAAATGGGAACCACGCGGTTATAAACCATACTTGCTCTACCACTAGTACGGACAGCTGATAAGAAACTGTCCGCCTGTGTCGCCGTCTGCACGAAACTCCGTAGCTACAGCGACGTTCCTCCGTTTACCGTAGAGTGTTAACTCCATTTCCTAGAGGCTAGTTGAACCCCGGGAACCTCCCGGTTTCGAACACCGGCCGTCGGCAGCAGCGAGTCGCTAACGCGGCCCCTATTGGGGCTGTAACTGTTACAAGGTAACATAAAGTCTAGACAGAGAATGGACGGCTCGCCACCATCATCATCATCATCTGTCACATGGTTTCTGTGAGAAAAGACCTACACGTCCGCACAAGCAACATACCACAGTTCTGCTAACAGACTAGATTATCCGATGTACATCAGCGTTTCAATCGGCTGGGTTTCACCTTTGCCCTGTTGGGTATTTGCTGGTTCCCTCATGAGAAAGATCTGGCAGCATCATCAACGACCGGGTCGTTCATTGGCTCGCCGGTAGACGACTTCGTAACCGACCAGGACACCATTTGGGTCCGTCTCCTTTGATCGCATCAACACTACATTAACACTTTTTAGGGCTACTTAGTGGCCAGCAATGCTAAGCAATTTTATGTGGAGCAATTAAGTCACAATTATAACCAAAAGCTCCCCCTTCAGGGATGCTGGTCGAATGTGAAGATTTTCTTTAGCAAAGCAAAGGAACAAACAGAGCTGGTAAAGTTGCAAGGGAAACAGAATTGATTGAGCTTCCGGACACTTCGTCATTTCCAGCAAAGGGGTGGAGATATGCCTGGCTAGTCGAAGCTTCGTACCGGTCACCAGTCTGCAAGTCGGCTGTAAAAGTAAAGGTCCCTTTTCCACGCCTTTAGGCGTATTGGGCATATAAGGCTAGACCTATATTTTATAAACCAATCGGCACTCGTTCGGTTAGATGGTCAACATCACATCGGTCGCCTTTACTTTCCACGACCTCACCTGACACCCATTTAAAGCTAGGTCCACCTGGGAGCCATGGTCAGTTCTAAAGGGAACACAAATCCGGCTTAGACAGGTCCTGAACCTACGACCTTCGGAGCCGCAGGCAAGCGTCTATCCGCTACACCACGACGGAGGTTCCCACAAGTCGACCGGTGCATCAATTTTGTCTTTCATCCAGGCTTTTTCCTTCGCACAGAAATCTATTAAATTACTCAACTTGTCCATTAAAAACAGAGCAATATTCCTCACATTCAGCCGCCTCAATGGGAGAACACAATTTACAACCAAATACAGTCATACAGGCACCATCAGTATTGGAACTCTGCGCTGGTTGCTGAAGATGAAGACGGAGCACCGAGTGCTGTTATGTCAATTCTGGACTTAATTAACTAACTAACTAAATAACTATGTAGTCATACAGTCAACATTGTCTTCACTTTCTACAATCTCTCCAAATAGTTTCATTTCCAGGGACGGGTTTTTTTTCCCCAGAAAAAGCCAGGAATCAAGCATTGTGGGGATTGAAGATGATATCGTCGGATGGGAAAACAATACGGAATATTAACTACATCACTAGTGTTATTGTCTGTCAACATGGCCCGAGGATCCAGCTTTAGGAATTATCAAAAGGCTCGATTACGTCTATAATGGACTCCTCTGGTAACTTGATGGCCGGTCAGTTAGCAGCCTTCATGAAGTTGCTCAAAGCTCTATCTTCTAGCTCTGTTACGCTCTCTCGTCTGCTTGCTGAATTCGGTGACGTTTGCTGTTTTTTATTCTTGCTCTTCCTCCCCTTTCCCTTCTTGCCCTTTTTACCTTTTTTGCCTTTCTTTCCCGATGTCTTTTTATCTTTGTTATCTGTTTTGCCTTTCTTCTCTTTGTTAACTGTTTTATTTTTCTTATCACCTTTACCTTTACCGTCTTTATTTTGTGTTTTCGTTTTTGGCTTTTCCACCCTCCCGGAAGGAAGTGGTTTATTTTCTATACCGTTGGCAGACAGCTCGCGGATAATCCCTTCGCATGTATTCTCCTTACGAATAGCGTTGATACCTTTCCTGAACTCCTTGTCTTTTCGGTTCCACACCATACCGAAAGTAATAACCAGCTGGTCAGCTCGTCGGTTGCCCATCAGCAGGTAGCGATCTTCAGTAGAGTTGATGGTTTCACAGGAGCAGCTAGCGCCACCTTCTATCACAGCCTGCAGGTTGCGCATTTGATTCTTGGTCAAGCCTTGCTGCTTGAAGAATGTCTTCTTTTTGCGCAGGGTCAGTTCTTTGTGTCCGTTGATGTTCTTGAATTCTTTGACACTGACTCGCAGAGCTGTGAACAAAGAACACAAGAATGCACTGTCAGAGTTCTCAAAGAGCAAAAAGTGATTTGACCAAAATAAAAATTATGTGATAGGGAATGCGGGGGGGGGGGGGGGGGGGGGGGGGGGGGGGGGGGGGGGGGGGGGGGGGGGGGGGGGGGGGGGGGGGGGGGGGGGGTTGGTAGAGCACAATTTTTAATCCCAAAGGTCTTGTTTTCCCTGTTGGTTCCGGGCCCCATTGTGGGGAAGAATGCCGTAAGAGTCAACTAATCAGAATTTTTTTTTTCGAAGTCGTAGTGTCTCTGCTTGAGAGGCAGGGAACCAACAATCTGTATAAATATCAAACCAGATATATAAAATGGATTTGCACGTAAAACTTATGTTCTAGAAGGAGGTTTAAAGTCCAGAAGTAGATAAACAATAAGAACTTTGTGCAGGAGTTTATAGAGGTGAACGAGAAGAAGAAAAACAAGGGACGCCCTGAGACCAGTAATTGAAGCCAACATTTCGTGGCATCCTTGCCACCAGGAAATATTTTCTGCTAGTATCTGCGACTAAGCATCGGTTCATCATGTTATGGTATAACATTACATGGTCTATTACAACAGCTGATATCTATTTGTTTTTCTTCTTCTTCTTTTGTCGTCTCACTGTTACCAGGTTGTTGCCCAGTGTCGTGGTTTTGTCGTCTCACGGTTACCAGGTTGTTGCCCAGTGTCGTGGTTTTGTCGTCTCACTGTTACCAGGTTGTTGCCCAGTGTCGTGGTTTTGTCGTCTCACTGTTACCAGGTTGTTTCCCAGTGTCGTGGTTTTGTCGTCTCACTGTTACCAGGTTGTAGCTCAGTGTCGTGGATTTGTCGTCTCACTGTTACCAGGTTGTTGCCCAGTGTCGTGGTTTTCTGTATTTGAATTGCGCTTCTCGGGTGGCTTGAGTGATGGATTTGTTCAACTGTTAGCAGTTTATATCTACACCATTTTTCTATATCTTTCTTGGTCTTCCTCTCTTTCTTCCCAGATGTTCTGCTGTAAAAAGTCACATATGAAGTCAGCTCTGGCTGAATTCTCACTAGATGGCTAAATCATTTCATTCTTTGTCTGTCAATATAATCCAGACATAGTCTTATTCCAACTTTCTCTCTAATGTTGGTATTCGTAACCCTGTCTCATCTAGTTTTGTTAGTGACCTCGCAGAGACAGCACATTTCTCATGTAGTTACTTTCTTGTCTATTTGTTGATTATAGGAAATAGATAACTCATAAACAGATTACTTTTAACACACATGCCTGAATCGACTGCAATAAGACACACAAAAAAGTTGGAGATATATTTGGCACACTCTGCGACGAAAGGAGCAAATAATTACAAAACAGGAACTAAAATGAGAAACAAACGGTCTGAGAGACAGAGAGAGAGAGAGAGAGAGAGAGAGAGAGAGAGAGAGAGAGAGAGAGACAGAGACAGAGACAGAGACAGAGACAGAGAGAGAAAAGAGGATGTCAGAAATTAACAAAGTTGCATGCAGTAGAGCGGAGTGCATGAATCGATTTCAAGCCAAATGCGACGTCTGACGGCACACGAAGGAAGACGATGATGATGATGATGATGATGATACACGATACAACACGGAAGTTCCGTATTTCAAAGCGCTCACGACAGACAGACAGACAGACAGACAGACAGACTTACAGACAGACAGACAGACAGACAGACAGACAGACAGACAGACAGACAGACAGACAGACAGACAGACAGACAGACAGACAGACAGACAGACAGACAGACAGACAGACAGACAGACAGACAGACAGACAGATTAGATAGATAGATAGATAGACAGACAGACAGACAGACAGACAGACAGACAGACAGACAGACAGACAGACAGACAGACAGACAGACAGACAGACAGACAGACAGACAGACAGACAGACAGACAGACAGACAGACAGACAGATAGATAGATAGATAGATAGATAGATAGATAGATAGATAGATAGATAGATAGATAGATAGATAGATAGATAGATAGATAGATAGATAGATAGATAGATAGATAGATAGATAGATAGATAGATAGATAGATAGATAGATAGATAGATAGATAGATAGATAGATAGATAGATAGATAGATAGATAGATAGATAGATAGATAGATAGATAGATAGATAGATAGATAGATAGATAGATAGATAGATAGATAGATAGATAGATAGATAGATAGATAGATAGATAGATAGATAGATAGATAGATAGATAGATAGATAGATAGATAGATAGATAGATAGATAGATAGATAGATAGATAGATAGATAGATATATAGATAGATTAGATTAGATAGATAGATTTGACAAATAGCTAAACGGACAGATGGTCACAACAGATACATTCCAATAATATAGTAAAGTATAGTAACTGTCCTTAATCAAGCCTGTGGCGAATTGGCATATGGTGCTCCAGACACATATTTTATAGGCCAATATTACAACAGTAGAAAAAAAAAATAAAGAAATGTTTCCACGCCTTTCAGTCGTCCTGGGTATATAGGGCTGGACCTATATTTTATAAAGTGGGTGATGTGTTCAGCGTCATGCATGTCGCCTTTACTTCCCAGGACTGCACCTTGTACCCACTCAAGGCTGGGTCGACCTGGGAGCCAAGGTCTTTTTGAAAAAAAAAAATCCGGATCTCGTCAGAAACCGAACCCATGACTTTCCGATCCTCAGCCGAGCGTCTAGCCGCTAGAGCACAACGGCTCCCAATATTTCAACAGTAAGAAACGTTAATTTGGACGTAAAGAGACGTAAACTATCGGTGGTTGCATTAACGACGACACATTCTGAGATTAGTGAATTATCTTCCCCTGCCTGGCCGGCTCTCCATCTGTCTTGCTGTATATGGGGTAACTTGTCTTCGTTCAGTTATCAGGGATTATAAGTTGGCATGATTCCCTTATCGGGGATTATAAAAGTGTCTTAATTATGCTATCAGACTTGGTAGGAATATGGATGTTTTACCAAGAATTTATCTAACAGGAGAAATCTCCTTATCTTTATAAGCTTTCGTCTGGGGATTAACAGGGGAGATAATTACCTATCAACGCGTCATTTCTGATCTATTTTGGGTTAGGGATTCAGGTATTCGTTGGCATCGAGTGTTGGCTTGTGGTTCGGTTACTTCCTGCTGATTATAATGGGATGTAAAAAGTTATTAACGAAGGGTTTTTATTACGTTAGCAATAACTGTAATGTATTTAGTTAGTAACGAGGGATTTCGACTTAATGAGAAGATAAATCTTGGGAAAGATTATATCACAGACGGTTGTGCGGATTTTCAGTATCTTTTAATCACAGATATTAAAAAAAAAAACACACACACTAATGTTTGGATTTGTTGCTAAAAGCCAAAATTTTCTTGTCAGTATCGTAAAAGATATTATCTTCTAGTTGTCATTTGCTGACTAACGATTCCATTTACACGAAAATTGTAGATTAAACGTTGGTAACCTACGACACGTCTGCCAAGGATGGTTCATGGAACTATTTTGGATGGTATGCTAACAAATAAAATGAATTATACGATCTCATTAACACGAAGAAATGTTTTTAATGATCACAGAAGTTTCTGAATAACAGTTCCATATGGACAGCCTTGATGGTGTAGCGGTTAGACGGTTAGATCCAAGGGTCCAGGGTTCAAATCCGAATTGAGTTTTATAACAAAATATAACCTTAGCTTCCAGGTCGACCCAGCCTTGTATGTGTACCAGACAGAGTCCTGGGAAGTAAAGGCAGCCGGCATAATGCTGGCTATATCATCGACCAAGTGCCCATGGGTCTAAAAAGCAAACCTACGTATGGCGCTATATGCACAGTGCACTCAAAGGCGTGGAAAAGGGTCCCTTACTTTATAGTGTTCCAAATATAAATGTATCGAATGACGTCACCACGCTGACCATCATTCTCTAAGTGTTTTCAAATAGTGTGCGCTATGAGCAAACAAACTGTCATGAAGAAACGATAGATAGATAGATAGATAGATAGATAGATAGATAGATAGATAGATAGATAGATAGATAGATAGATAGATAGATAGATAGATAGATAGATAGATAGATAGATAGATAGATAGATAGATAGATAGATAGATAGATAGATAGATAGATAGATAGATAGATAGATAGATAGATAGATAGATAGATAGATAGATAGATAGATAGATAGATAGATAGATAGATAGATAGATAGATAGATAGATAGATAGATAGATAGATAGATAGATAGATAGATAGATAGATAGATAGATAGATAGATAGATAGATAGATAGATAGATAGATAGATAGATAGATAGATAGATAGATAGATAGATAGATAGATAGATAGATAGATAGATAGATAGATAGATAGATAGATAGATAGATAGATAGATAGATAGATAGATAGATAGATAGATAGATAGATAGATAGATAGATAGATAGATAGATAGATAGATAGATAGATAGATAGATAGATAGATAGATAGATAGATAGATAGATAGATAGATAGATAGATAGATAGATAGATAGATAGATAGATAGATAGATAGATAGATAGATAGATAGATAGATAGATAGATAGATAGATAGATAGATAGATAGATAGATAGATAGATAGATAGATAGATAGATAGATAGATGTACTTACCCACATCAGAGCGACAAAACTGGTCAATCATAGACTCGTGTGTGAGTGGATGCTTGCAGGCTGTACAGTTATTGTCGGCTGTGAGAAGAGACAATATTACAATTATTATTTGTCGACGTTAATATTTTATAAAGTAATGTCAAAAAAGTATTCTTCCTCTTCACTGCCTCTTTTTCAGCTTCGGGTGAATAAAGAAGATGTAGGATTCTGCTTTTTGATCTTCTGACCTCGTTGAGCATAGACAGCCACAGGGGCTGTTGTGATATGTTTCTGGTGTTTTCTTTATATCCTGTTCTTGCGCTGTCTTATGATCTACATCCTTCTCTTTTTATTGTAAGCCTCGTGTGGTGAGGCGTCCCAAGACATACTTTCTTAAGTGGACAAACCATTTGATTTGCTTCATTTGTATGTAATTAAGGATTGGTTGTCTGCCGATTTGTTTTTTTATGACCCCATTCCTGAGTTTATCTATTCTGGACACTCCTAGAGCCCTTCTCAAACTTCTCATTTCCATGGTTACCTATTTTCTACTATTAATCTTTTAAAGAAAGGGGTGGGGGGGGGGGGGGGGGAACTCAAAGTGCCTGTGCTCCCAGGGTTTCGACGTCTACGAGCGACGTTCTGCAAAGTACCTGTTACATAATATTGATGCTCCTATGAAGCTGTCAGCGTCTGCTATCTTCTTCTTCTGCCTTTTCAACTCCCAGTGGAGTTAGGGCCTTAACCAACTCACGCCAAGTGGTTCTATCCTTCGCTATCGCATGAAGCTCTACCCAAGTCCTCCGCATCTTTTTAACTTAACTCTCTAACTCCCTCTCCTTGTGTTTTTAAAGACTTCCTTTTTTCAGTGCCTCTGTGGGTTTCAGTACTGAGACATTCTAGTTTTATCGTTCTCAGGTTTTCTCAACATGTATCCTATCCAACACCAGCGTCTTTTCTTCATCTCTTGGTCAACTGGAACTTGTTTAGTTCTCTCGCACAGCTCTACATCAGTGATTCTTTCAAACCATTTGATTTCTTCTATACTGCGCAGCCACCAGTTAATGACTGTCTGTAGTTTATTATTATTAGTCTTAGTTGTTCTTCATGTTTCCGCTCCGAACAACAGTACAGATTTGACATTAGAACTAACAACTTTCAGTTTATTATTAGTTTTAGCCTTTCTAGCTCAATAATAACAACGGATAGAACACAAGCATAATGTTGATTCAGCCCGTCTCCTTGTGTCCGGAGTTGCCGTCTGCTACCTACTTCTTCAGAAATGTCGTAAGCTGCAAATTGCCGCACTCCTCCTACATAATTCAGTTTTCTTTTTTTTTTCTAAAAAACTGCCTGTCTCTGTCTAATCCTTTCTTTCCGCTGCCTCTCATATCTTTTGTCTATTTCTGGAATTCTCCAGCCTTGGGAAAAAACCTCAAAACGTATATCCCATTGGACTTTCCTGACCTGCATAACGACATTCGTGACCTGGCCACGGATCAGCCAGGTCAGGCTAGAAACACCCCACTTCCCCTAGCCCCTTTCATGTAGGAATACGCTGGCGTCAGACCCCCAACAAGGGAAATAATCACTTGACAGAATCCAATTTTCAATCAACACGTTGCTGGGCCAAGTGCTTGTCAATAGCTGGAGTGTTGAGTCGACACTTCCGAGCATTCTTCAGAAATGTCGTTTTTCAATGGCTGATCTCATTGCCTGGTTTACCATGGTTAGCCGCCCGGGAAACCCCATGGGGATTTGGGAATGAAACGATAATAAATATGTTGTCATGGCATCTTCAAGTTTGTCACAAACGCCAAACACAACCAGAGATATTATCTAATGGACTGTCTTTCTCTTTTCATCGCACCTCCCAACGGTTTTCATTCAGATTACAGTAATATTGTCACACAGTCGCCAGATAGGTACATTTGAGAGCATTAATCTGCGAGCTTAGATGTTCCTTGTGTCAGTTTGCAAAAGTATGCCATCCTGTTTCATAAAACGAGTAAAGACCCATTTTCCACGTTTTTAGGAATATTGAGTATATAATAAGTAATTTAATAGGACCCTGTTCTACGTCCTCTGACGTACTGAGCATATATAGCTAGATATATACTTTGTTGACCATTGGGTCATCATTACGCCGGCGATCTTTACTTCCCAGAACTTTACCCGGTGCCCATTTGTAAACTGGGGCATACTTGGGAGCCAATGTCAATTTTGATCAGAAGAAACAAATCCAGCTTGATGCTGATTTTAAACTACAGACTTCGGGCCAGCCGCTAGTGTCTAGCTGCTACACAAGGGAAGCTCCTACCTGGATTTAGACATTCACCGTAGTGTGCACTGTTGTTTCTCAGTAATAAACATTACAATACATAAATTCTTAGCTATAAACAATAAACATTGGGCTAGCCAGCATGGGTATGGGCGACTGCATGGGAAGGCCGATTGTCACGCTGATTTCGCGGCGGTGGTATGTTTCCATATTTAGTCCTGAAATAGTAGTCTCTAGTAGTTATACTAAGTAATATGTCAGGGTGTATTCTTGTTAGGATGGCAGGTAGCTATAAGTGATTTATTGGTCTGGTGGCATATTGAAGCTTAACGTACATGTTTAATATGTTTCGGTTTTTGCCATTGTTGAGGTAATCTCGCTGAGCGTATGGTGTCATTATCATATCTCCGTGTTAGCTCATGGTCGCTTTAGATTCTGTTGGAGCACGTTGGTTGTTGTTAATGTTGTTATTTGTGAACCACGCCGATTTTATGTTAAGTGAAATAAACATATGTTTAATGTGGTAATCGTAGTTCCCGTTGTTTTTGGTTCAAACTAATCTTGTCGTTAGTGTGCCTAGTTTAGTATTTATTGCTTGGCTGATCTAGACTGTATACAAAAGATCTCTTGTCTGGGCTAGAATATTTATGTTTCTAGTCCCCGCCTAACGAACTATTTTTGTTTATTTTTTTTTTCTTGGTACTTAGGGCTATTCCATTCTAGTACATTAGTCACAAACATAACTATGCATTGTTTCAAAGTCATAAACATAACTATGCATTGGTTGTCAATCACAAACATAACTTTGCATCGATTTTAGTCATGAACGGTATAATTAATCGGTTCTCGGTGATTAAGACTGAGGTACATCAATGTGTCAGCTAATATGTTGCATGTATGAACTTGCAGACATAAATGTTACGTGTAACAGTTTGTTACCAAGCGCCTGTCGTCATCTACAAATGTTACAGTCCTATTACAATTAAATACATTTACCCCAAATTATATTATACAGGAAAATATTTTTTTCTCAGTCTCTAGGAATAAATCTGTCGATGCACCGTGTTCTCGCCGCCATAAGCCCGCCTTTCATCCGAGCTGCCATGGGTTTGAATCCCAAACAGGCGCATTTTCCAATATCAAGTAATCTTCCAGATCCCTCAGTCATCGAAACTGGGACCAGAAAATAGGAGGTAAAGGACACCCGTGTTGTAGTGACCGCATCCTACACTCTGAGCTCCGATTTGTCTATGCAAATAAGAGGCTGGAAACAATTGCCCAAAACATCATGGGGTTTGCAGACGTGACTTTCGCTTCGACCTTTTCTTTCACGCGCGCTCGTCTACCCTCCCCCACCCCACACAAAAACCATATTGCGTGTATATATATATATATATATATATATATATATATATATATATATATATATATATATATATATATACGTATATATATATATATATATATATATATATATATATTTATATATATATATATATATATAATATATATATATACACACACACATACACATACTGTGTGCATCTTCTTCTTCTCTTCATATTCTTAGTGTTTTCACCGGCTGTAATGAAAGTTCTGGTTGTTCGTCCAATTCTGGACTTGGGTCTTTTTCACAAACCTAATTTTTGCGCGCATATCCGGTTTTTCGCAGCTACAGGTCTAGCTTATTTATTTGCAGACTGTTGATTTCCCGCCTCTCAGACAGATGCACTTAACCTTCGTAACTAGTCGACTTCTATGAGAAACTTATTAGGGGGGCAGCGAATCTATTCTTTCTTTCGGTCACAATGGGAGTCAAAGGTGCCAAAACATGGACGCTGTTTGAGCCTCTTTACAAAAAAATGAGTATGTAAAGAGTGAGGTGGGAAGGGGGTGGGGGAGGGGTGGGGGGCAACTAAAGTTCTCACAGGGAAAAAATGGTAGAGGTGCTAAAGAGTCGCTCTGAGCATGTGTAAAACATTTTATATTATTTCAAATATACTGATCTTAGTGTCTGTTGCTGAGGAGTTGCGAACACGATGTGATTCCATGATACCCGGTTCGGTTCCAAATGCGGGCAATTTGGCAGCAAGCTGCTTTACGAAGGTTTTGACAATGGCACGAGAGATGACACTTTAGTGAGAAACGGCAAACTACCGAATATGGACATGCCTAGTAGCATCTAAAGCAGCCACACACACACACATACACACACACACCACACAAAACGGCTGCAGCTGGCACTTTGTAGTCCTAGAAATAAGTTGTTTCAAATAAATTACTATATTTATTTGCCATTAATCATAGTGTTTATTACCCCAAAAAAAGAGGGAGGAAAGGGGAGGGGGGGGGGGGACAAGAGAGTGAAGTTTAAAAGACACACAAGACATGGGTGAGCTGCTTGCGATAGCAAAGAATAGAACAACTTGCTGTCAGCTGGTTCAAGGCCAATGTTAAAATGGGAAACAAAAACTAGAAAAAAAAAGAAGGCATTATCTTCCTCATTGTGATGAGGTGCTGTGCATGGTCTTCACGATTACATTGTGGCAAGCAGAAAGTCCGTGCAACAAGGGACAGCACGAGATACTTGTGTCTAGTCGAGGAAGCGAGGGAAAGCCCGAGCTAGCCTCGTGATCAGTCGATCATCAGAAGTCAGGGAAGACGGTTGTAGTATTTGAAGATGTAGTTTTATGTTGCGCGAATGGTTAATGTTCGAATATGTCGCGAGTGATAGAAGTGCAAATAATGTTTGAATATGTGAAATAAATGGACCAGAATAAACTGACAGAATGTACCAAAAAGCTGAGCGACGTTTGTG